GACCACTGCAAGCAGGAAAACTGTGATGGGGCAGACCAGGCTGAGCTGGGCTACAACACCTACTGACTTGCATCTGAGTTCAGTCAGGGGAGAACCATGGTGAGGCTAACCGATTGTACCCACTGGTGCATGTATAAGCCAGAGTTAAGTGTGAGCTGGCTGGGCTTTGCCTCAGCATCAGTTGGCAAGTGCTAGGACTGGGGCAAATCCTGTTAAGCTAGACTGTAGAACCACTTAGACAGTGCAAGACCCAGGACTGGGAGTGGGCCCAAAAGGGAAATTGTGGGTACCTCTCTGATGGGCTATAGCTCCCAATGGTGAGCATGAGAACCAGGGCTGGGGGTTGGGTCTAGCTAAACAGTACCTGCTGGCATAAGTGTGGGCTTGATAGTGAGGCTGATTGGGTTGAACCAGGTTTCAATGCCCGTTGAGAGCAGAATGGGATATGGGGCAGATTGGACCAGTCTGCTGTACAAATTGGCAAGAATGGGAACCAGGGCAGAGGGCAGACCTGGTGAAGGTTAATGCAGGTTGCTCCAATTAGGCTGCAGCTCCCACTGCTAAACATGAGGGCCGAGTGTTTGGTGGGCAGGGCAGGGCTGGGCCACAGCAACTGTTGATTTACATAAAAGACAGGGCTGGAGGAAAAAACTGACCCAGCAATTACAACAACTGGTGTGTGTGTGGGCTGATGTGAGGCACAGACAGAGCTGAACCCCCTACTGGTAAACACACCAAGAGTCAGGTCTGGGATCTCCTCGGACAAGGTTTGTTTTGGGATTCCCCCCAACTGAACTGCAGGACTTAAGAGCCCCAACCATGGAGAGAATCATAGGGTCTGTGGTCTGACCCTGGAGTGCATGTGTCGGAACTGGATCTCCTTAGTGGCTAAGATGGAACAGTGGACAGCATGCCCAAGTGGACATGGAGGATATGGCAGTCCATTAGAGCCTGCACAAGACTCTGGTAGCATAACAAAGGAAAGAGGACAGAACAAGTTGGTCAACTACCCCAGCCAGACGTTGGCCACAAATATCTGGGTGAACAGAGACTCTAAGGTGGACTATGTCAGCCAAAAGGATTTCCTCATCCTTGGATGAGGATAGTCAATCAAATTATATCACATCCCTGCTACCTTGCTAGCAGAATTCCAGATGATGGCTCATACCTAGAAGGGTACAGCCAACCCTCCCAACTATTTTTTCAAGCCCTACATGTGACTGCACCATGCCTTTGCTCAAATTCTGCCATTACTTCTTGATCACCCAGGACAGACTGCATGCTTACCCTGACATTTTACTTCTCCTCCTGCCTCTGCCTGGCCTCCTCCATTCCCTCCACCTACTCCATCCTCTCTGCAGCTGCACTGACCTTGCTGCTGCTCACACACAGCTATGACAGGTCACTTGCTGTGTGTCGTTGCTCTTGCAGTTTCCCTTCCCAGAAATGCTGTTTTATCAGATGGTCCTATTCCCTGTTCTCCCAGTGTTAGATAAGATAAGGACTTCTCAGGCACAGTATTTGATTTGCAAACTCCATCCCCAGTTTTTCTCTTAAAAATTATCTATTTCAATTTTTTAAATGATTTGTTTTTTGTTAGAAAGACAGATAAGATTTATGGAGAGAAGGAGAGAAAGATCTCCCATCTGCAGCTTCACTCTCAAAGCGGCCACAACAGTCGGAGTTGAGCCAATCTCAAGTCAGGAGTCAGGAGCTTCTTCTGAGCCTCCCATGTGGGTGCAGGATCTCAGAAGTCTGGGCCATCCTCTACTGCTTTCCCAGGTCACAAACAAGGACCTGGATGGGAAGCAGAGCAGCCAGGATACAAACCAGCTCCCATTTGGGATCCCAGTGCTTGCAAGGTAAGGCTATAGCCATTGAGCTATTGCATCAGGCCCTATATTCAATTTAATTGAGGGGGAGAGATATCTTATATCTACTGACTCGCTTGGTCACTTCCCAAACACCTGCAATGACCACATGCTGAACTCAATCTGAGTATCCCACGTTAGTGGAGGAAATCCAAGTGCTTGAGTCATCACCATTGACTCCCCAAACATACGTTAACAGGAAGATAAACTTGAAGTGGGATGGGAACCACTTACTCAAATGCAAATGTCTCGAATGACCATCTAACTGCTGCATACAATGCTTAACCATACCCACCTCTCACATCTCGTCCATATTTTGTTCCCAACATTTATTAATATCAGTAGGTGTTATTAAATTAAATCAATTGTTTGTAATACTAGGTGAATTTTTATTTAACTTGCTGACTGTCCATTTTTCATAGATAGATAGATAGATAGATAGATAGATAGATAGATAGATATGTGTGTTAAAATTGTTACAGAGGCAAAGCAGAGAGAGAAAGAGATATTCCAGCATTGGTTCCCTTCACCAAAGGCTGCAATGGGTGTGGCTCTTCATCTGGGATGTAAGCATCTTCATCTGGGTCTCCCTCATGGGTGTGGCTCCCAGGTGTAATGAGCTTCATCTGGGTCTCCCACATGGGTGAGGCTCCCAGTGTCAGCATCTCCCAGTGCCAGGAGCTTCATCTGGATCTACTTCATGGATGGGGCTCCCAGTGTCAGGATCTTCATCTGGGTCTCCCACACGGTTGGCAGAGGTTGCCGCATTTAGATCATCTTCTGTTGCTTTCCCAAGCACTTAAGCAGAGAACTCTACCAGAAGTGGTACAGCCGGGATTTGAACTGATGCTGACATGGGAGGGGAAGCAGTGGCACAGGGACAGCTTCACACATTGTCACGCCAACCTGTCCCCATTGCTTAGAACAAAAGTACCACTCAACCATTAAAGCTGTGTATTTGTTCATTGGTCTGGCACTCGGCATCCACCCATTTAGAGGATGAGACATCTGCAGCATCCGTAGTGCTGCACAGAAGACATAAACTGTCCTGCTGGGCTTCTGCTGTTACAGCTACTGAGACCTCACTGAATAACCCTGCCTTCTTGATGTTGCAAAAACATCATATCCCCTTCTATCTCAGGTCCTTTCCACATCCTCTCCCTTCTGCTCAGCTCTCTCGTCTCTGCCAAGGTTTACGTTCGTGCTTCACAGTAGAGCTAACATCACTCACTGGGTTCTCTTCACCTCCAAACTTGCTGAAATCCTCCTAGTAACAACTATCATTTAGTAACTGATGAATACGAAGTTGTTTGAAGTCACGTTGCTGTATTTCTTTTGCCTTCCATTAGCTAGAAACTGTTGTATACTTCCAATCGTGTCTACTAAACAGATACAAGAGCAGCAAATGAGTGAAGCGACCCACAGCAGCTGAAGCCTGGGGCAAGGGGGAAGACACAGCATAATCTAGTGGACAGTCAGCCATCGTGCATGTGGGGGTAGTGCCAGCACTGGAGTCCTCATACTGTTGCTTGTGTTAAACTGAATGATCTGATTGGCCCTACTCCCGATGCAAGGGCTAAAATTGAGAGCGGGCATAGTGGCTCCCAGGCTAATCCTCCACATGCAGTGCTGGCATCTTATCTAGGCACCAATTCTATGTCCAGCAGCTTCACTTCTGATGCAGCTTGCTAATGATGGCCTGGGAAAAGCAACAAAAGGTGGCCCAACACCTTGTGCCCCTGCGCTCACAAGGGACACCTGGAAGAAGCTCCTGGCTCCCAACTTCAGATTGGCTCAAGTCTGGTCCTTGCCGCCATCTGAGGAACACACCTTGGGTGGAAGACCTCTCTGCCTCCCCCTGCTCCTCACAACTCTTGACTTTCAAGTTAAAACATAAAATCTTTTAAAGACGAAATAAAAATCCGTGTGGCCATTATTAGCCACAATTAGAACAGAGATGTGCTTTCTTCTAGTGCCCACAGGAGAAAAAAGGTCATTATAATTTTCCAAAATAAACAATAGTAGCTGTGATGTCACTAGCTTTGATGGCTTTGACGTTTTATTTGACAATGGACTTTCTCGGAGATAAAGAGCAGATGTTACAAATTTCCTAGCATCGAGATATTGCCATTCAAGACAAGGCCACATATCCTGAAATCAGTGGAAAAGTGGCATCAGGTAGAACTGGGCCAACCTGAACCAATGGGGCAAGGCGGTGTTAGGAAAGCTCCTGATGCTAGAGCCGGCTAATGAACATAAAAGACTTCTTTGTTCAGTGAGGAAAATAGAACCATATTGTGTCTCTTCAAATAACTGAGTGCTTAATCCAGAAAAAAAAAACCACATAATCTCGTTATTGGAAAATTCAGAGTGAATAAAGTCAAAGCTGCTAAGTGGTGAGCATTCACCAAATTGCCACAGCATGTGGTGGCTGTTTTGAAAATCCAGCATAAGCATCGCTTTAGATCTCCCAACCATTCTCTGTGTGATACTACTGAGCTTCAAAGTCATGCCCGAGGTCATTAAATTAATTCAGGAAAAGTTGATCCGTCACTGCATTCCGATATTGGATCCCTAACCCTGGGTAAGTTCTAACATAATCTCAATTGTACACGCCCCATAAATACACGTGTTTGTTTCAGAACATGTAAGAACAAATGAGCACACATTTCAACCACTTTCACTTCTGTGAGAAGGCCACTCTCTCTTCAAAGACTTTTTCAAGTTTGTTATGCTCAGAAAATTGAAGCTGAAGTGGGAGAAAACATGGACAGTCCTCACTGGGGGGCCCTAGGAGGAGCCCACAGGATTAAGGCTCAGGGTATGCTCCTCTTGGGGAAACAAAGGTACCCTCTCCCAGCTCAGCCACGTATGGGACTCTGAGGGGTGTGGCCGTTGAATTCTGCTGTGTATCTGACACAGCCACGTCGTCATTTTCCAGTAGCTTGACCACTCTAGGGACATGCTCTAACAGTGTGAAGAGCCAAGTTAAAACAACGTCCTGCTGAACCTCAGTTACTCTCAACTACTCTAGTACATTGGTTGCTATGCCAGTGGATGTACAAGAAAGTGGGGTGAACATATACGCTGGACTGCCTATACAGCCTTGATGTACATCTATTTTGTAACACTGTTTAAGACTGCATAACGATTTGTCTCGTAACGGAGAGAACACTGGAATAGGTTAGACTTTCTTGCTATATAGCAAGCTCAAACTGTCCAAATGGTTTTGACAGTCTGCTACATAGTCTTGCTTGCAAAAGCCTCTCTGCTTGACCGTTCGATTCAGTCTCAAAGCACTGTGATATCAAGAGTAAACTATCTGGCCACTCCATCCATTAACCAACGGCATTTATAAGAGCAGCAGGATTATCTAAAAGAATCTGAAAGAGACCACCAGTTAAGCAGCCATGGAATTGACTCTGTCACTTTGTGACCTTGAATAGTCGCTTGGTCTTTGGGTTCCGACTTCTCCTTAGAGCTACTCCATGGCACTCTTACCTAAGACTTTGTAGGGAGAAATAATGCCACAGCACACTTTGAGGGGCAATAAAAATGGAGTGTGATCAAGCTGAGTCACAAATTGTTGGAAGGCAGGAGATGGACGTTGCTGAATCATTATTACAACACAGTGTAAGGTGTAGAGTATGCCCCAGATGTCTGTGGTAGGAGTGAAAGGCCCTGGAGAGAGCACTGGGCTACACTGCAGGAGCCTGAGTTCTAACCCTGGTTCTCCCTGATCTTGAGCAAGTCAACTATCCACTGAATCTCAGTTTTTGCCTGACATCTAGAGAGCTGATGCTGGTCTCCTCCAGCCCTCTTGTTGTATAAGCAAGGATTTGCCAGATGGATAATCCATTCATAAAGTCTCAGGAAATGATTGGTGTCATGTTCGTTTTACAAGAACTAAGAGGATAAGACAGAAAGGGACTGGTATCACTCCTGTCTGCGTACCCGCAGCCTGAAGCAGCCAGTGGCCATTGCCAGTGGGCCACTGCAGTGGTCCTTTAGAATTCACTGCACTCTGGCTGTGCTTGCAAGTACTGTTCCGCAGAGAAAACTTGGGGTAATGTATTCTTGCACTTAGGAAGGCATCCATCTGCTTGCTGCCCTTTCAGCTTAATAAAAAAAAAAAAGCCTTTGGTGCCAAACACAGAAAGAATTCCATTACCAAACTGTGAAAATGACCTTAAACTTTGCAAATTCACTTCCCTTTGTCTTATTTTAGTGGCAAGGTGGCTAAACTGACAAAGCCAAGAGTCTTACTCCATTTACATTTATTTCTGTTTGGTTAGGTGATCAAGTTTAAGGTCAGAACCCTGTGTTCTCTTGAGGGACACCAATTATCTGGACTAAATGCTAGCCTCAGTAAGAAAGACTTTAGAAGAAATGTGGCATTCTGAAATTAGAATAAGAAGCCCTCATCCAGTTGAACCAGTGTTTCCTCCATCTCATGGACATGCTGCTTGGAGTTCACACGGTCTTCATCTGAGGTTCTTTCCTGAAGATCATGATGAATGCCTGTTGGGTGAAGAGAGAAAGAGCTGCATGTTGATTGGAAAGTTTCAACCTGCACAGGTTGATCACTCTACTCCTTGCCTAGAAATGGAAGCTTAAACTATATTTAGACTCAGAAACACAGCCAAGGGACTTTTTCCTAATGGGCAGAAAAGCAAAGCCCTGAAGAGGAACAAGACTGAGGGCCAATCGTAATGTTACGTGGGGAATGCCTGGGGAACCAAAATATCCCATTTCTATTGTGTAAATATTCCTTCCAAAAGCTGATTTCAAGTTGTTAATGTGATATTCAAGGACAGATGCAGTGAGCTACGCCCAATGTCTGTCAGGAGTACACCTGAGTCAAGCTTGGTCACTAATGGAAGTAGGTCTAAGGAAGGAATAAAAGGAAGACAAATGACATGTTATAATAAACTGTGATCTTACAAGCCACCGTTATAATTCTATAATTAAATGATATCATAAACCAATACTGCGATGCATAAACCACCATTGGGATGTTATAAACCAGCATTGCCATGTCATAATCAATTGAGAATTCATAATCCCCCATTAATCAATTGCTTTATAAATAATTGTGATGTCATAGAAATCATTGTAATATTACGTATCTATATGATGATGTCATACATGGGCTATTGTGATGTTGTAAATCAATTATGAAGTCATCAAATCCTGTTATAAAAACACTATTATGACATCATGATTGATTGTGATGGCATACAAACTGTGATGTCATAAATGATCATTGTGATCTAAAAGATTACCATTATGATATAAATTTTGATGTCACAAAACAATTTTTATATCACAATTAACATGTAATACACAATTATGACATAAGATTCCATTGTTATAATAAATTATGATTTAAAAACCTTTGTGATGTCATAATACATTTTGCATTTGGTAAACCAACATTATGGTAACATAAACCTGCCAGTGCTATGATAATAACCAGTTTTGAAGTCATCAAAAGATTGCAACATTGTAAACATACAACTATGAAAATATAAGTCACCATGCTGATGTTATAAGTCACTAGGCGCTCCGGAGGTGAACCCATACAAAGAACTGCCCATCCTGCTGGTCTTTTTGATTTGACCAGGAGCAGAGACAGAGCAGCAGATCCCAGATGTGCAGTACAGGAACAGGGTATATTTCACAACCCAGTCCACCCCCTAGAGCCAAATCGGGCACCATTTTGTTAGGGAGGCAAAGGCTATGGGACAGCACTGCACATGACTGAGCTGGGAGCACACTCATTTCTGGCTCAGTGAACTGCAACAATGTGGCATTCTATGGGTTCCACCCAAGATAGGTCCGAGTAGCCCTCAGATAACAGCCAACAGGTTCCGGCAAGATCAGCACTACCAACAACTTAGCTGTATGGGACACCTGGTGTCTCCCTAATCCTGGGACCTACACCAGCCAGAAGTGGGAGAAAGGTTGTACAGACAACGCTGCAGCCTCAGCATGGAATCACAGGAGGTAGAGAATGATGAGCCAGGAGCTGGGGCTACAGAGAGCATGGTGGAAGTCTAACATAAGAAGCCAGACCTAGATGTAGTACCCAAGGCCATGGACTCACCATTGTGCACGAGATCTGGCACTAGAAGAGATTCTGATGGAGGAGCTCGGGGAACTCCTCCTCTAACAGGACACAGTCCCTGCAGGTGAGCACAAGAACCACAATAGGGATCAGCCCAAACCAGGCCAAGATGCAGTACCCAGTGGCATACATTTGACTTACAGCAGGGGTGAACCAAGCTGGGCCAGTTCATATCACCTGCTGCCGAATCCGAGTACCAGAATGCAGTGTGGATCAGGCCGGGTTCAGTCACAACACAAGTGAGCTCGTGTGAAGGCCAAAACTGGGGGGTCTGCTTTGCCTGAGTTAGGCTGTAGCCCCCACCAGTGTGAGCTGGAACTGAGAGTGGTCAGGGCCCAGTCAGGCTATAACACCCACTGGCAAATGCCAAGATGAGGCAGGCTATGCCAGACTGGGCCACAGCACTCAACTAAAAAAGATGAGACCCAGTGAGGGGGGGTGGAAAACCCAGTAGAGCGGCTGCATGGGGCTCCCCTGTTGGACCATCACTCTCACTGGTGAGCATGAGAGCTGGGATGGGGCAAGTCATGCCGGCAGGGCTACAACACCTGTTGGCCTCATGTGAGCTGAAACAGGGAAAAGCCAGGCTGAGTTGAATGTTCCTACTGGTGCATGCATAAGCCAGAGTGGATGTGGGTTGGTTGGGCTTTGCTGCAGCATCAGCTAGCAGATGCTGGCACAGGGATACAGGGAACTCTGTAAGTTAAACTGCAGAACCAGCTGGAGAGTGGAAGTGTAGGGAAAGAGTGGGTACCTCCCTCTGGGTTGCCACTCCAACTGGTGGGCATGAGAACAAGAGCACGGGGCAAGCACAGGAACAAGAGCAGGGGCAGGTCTGGTGGGGGTTACTGCATGTCACTCCGACTAGGCTGCAGCTCCCATCGGTTTGCATGCAGGCCGAGTGTTTGGTGGGCAGGATTAGGCTGGACTGCAACACCCTTTGGCTCATGTAGAAGACAGGGCTGGAAACAGAACTGATACAACAATTGCTGCCACAAGCAGGTGCATAAGCTGATTGGGGTGACAGACTGTGCCAGACCATGCATTGGCAAGCACACAAAAATCAGGTCTGGGATCTGTTCCGGCCAGCTGGCCGGTAGCATGGACACGGCGAGGGTCAGGGAATCAGACACCGACAGGAGACCAGTAGTGGTGGAAGACTTCTCTCTCAGCCTCCCTTTATTCAGCCATATATATACCTTTCCCCCAAGCCTCTAGCAGAACAATAGGATGCTAATGAGTCTGACAGACAAGGTGCCACTAGCCTCCAAGCCCATTTCCTGCAGGAGCCAAGCTTAACAAATGCTAATCAACTCCTCAGCCCACAACAGGGATCACCTCAGACAAAGTTTCTTTCCTGCTTGCTTTCTTTCAGATTTATTTTTGTTGCAAAGTCAGATATACAGAGAGGAGGAAAGACAGAGGGGAAGATCTTCTGATGACTCACTCCCCAAGAGACTGCAATGGCCAGTGCTGCGCAGATCCAAAGCCAGGAGCCAGAAGCTCTTCCAGGTCTTTCAGGTGAGTGCAGGATCCCAAGGTTTTGGGCTGTCCTCTACTGCTTTCCCAGGCCACAAGCACGGAGCTGGATGGGCAGCAGAGCTGCCGGGACTAGAACCTACACCCATATGGGATCCCAGCACGTTCAAGGCCAGGACTTTAGCTGCTAGGCCACTGCGCTGGGACCTTAGATGAAGTTTCTATGGAAATCCCAACTGAATTGCTGGACTCAAAACCCCAGTCATGGAGAGAAATGCAGGTTCCATGGTCTGATCATTGAGTGCATGAGTCAGAGCTGGTGCACATGAAAGATATGGCAGTACTCTGGAAATCGCAGAGGACATCTGGTAACAGGACAGAGGACAGAACAAATAGATCAACTACCCCAACCAAGCATTGGCAGTGAATATCCTGGCAAATGGAGACCCTAAGGTGGACTATGTCAGCCAGTGGATTCTGGAGAGATTTCATCATGCTTGAAATGGTGAGATCAACAGTGATTCAAAATTGTTGAACTATCAAAACCTCTTGAGCAGGATGCTCAGAGCATGACCCACACTGGGGATCCTGGGGTGGTGTAGGGTGACTGTCCTCCATCCCAGGGTACAGACGCATTTGGGAGGCTG